GGCAGAGGGGCAACCCGACAGGAACCAAGGAGGGCAGCGGGCAAGGAAGACAGCATTCTCCAGCCACCCTCCAGTGTTCAGCCTGTGCCTCCCTTTTGCCAAACCCACCCTGAAGTCAAAGGGCAGGGCAGCTTGTTGATGTGATCAGTAGAGGTCAGCCTTCCAGGCATGTGTCAGGGGAGTGGAAGAGGGAGGAGGGGTGCAGTGAGAGGCTGAGTAATGGTCCCCAAAGATACCTGATCCTAATGCCTGGAACCCATGAATGCTACTTTATGAAGGAAAAATGGTCTTTTCAGATATGATTAAACGAAGGATCCTGAGGTGAGTGGATTATCCTGGATGACCCAAGTGGGCCCTAAATACAATCACAATACCCTTACCCGAGGGGCAGAGCTTGGGGCCACGCAGCCACAAGCCAAGGAATGCAGGTGGCAACCAAAAAATTCTCCCCTGCCCCACCCCAGAAGCCTCCCAAGGGAGCACGGCCCTGTTGACATCTTGCTTTCAGCCCGGCGAAATTGGTGTTGGACTGCTGGCCTCCACAACTGGGAGGGAACGGCATGTGTGGTTTTAAGCTGCCATGTTTTTGGTAATTTGTTTCAGCAGTCACGGGAAGCCCAGGCAGATGGGGATGGTGATACAGGGTGAGACAGCAGCACAGCAGAAATCATGAGAGCTCTCCCTCCCGGCTGGGTGCTGGGGTGGGTGCTGTTCCAATGTCAGGAAATTCCCTTCATTCTCAAGCAACTCCAAGAGCAGGAATCGTTATTACCTTCAGTTTTTTGGATGATGAAACGAAAGCACAAAAATATTAAGTAACTTGCCCTGCCGAGCATTTTCTTTTTTAATTTGAACAGGAAAATTTTAATATAAGGAATTATTAACTCTAACAGGTAATATTCTATAAAGGGGTAGAGGAATATTGTAGGATTCAGGGAGGATGCCCGAGGAAGGAATGAACTTGGAAAGGGCCCTCCCCACCAAAGCTGGGGTGCAGCCCACACTGTAAGATATGTGGCTGTGGATCACTGGACGGTGGGGAAGGTGGCTGGCTTGCCCAGACTAGAGCTGGTCCACAGATGCTGAGCAAGCAGAGAACACCCCTCCCAAGTGCTGGCAGAGTGAGGCTGGAAAGCTAGCCTCTAGGACACACTGGGAAGGCCTCAATTGGGAAAACACTGAAGCTTGATGAGATGCCATCCACATGGATGAAACCTGATGGAAGTGAGCACCACTGAATATGCCCCATGTGTGTCACTGGTGACCACAGGATCAGAGCAAGAGGAAGCCCAAGGAAAAGTCAGAACAGGGAAAAGCCCTGTTCCTTCTGCAGTGTCCCTCAGGCTCCCTCTACTGACAAAGCTTAGCAGCCCACTCACTGCAAAGGGAGGATATTTAAAGATTCCAGCTCTATTTTTGCAGAATTGGTAACAAAGACTTTGGAGCATAGAGGCAATAGCCAAGTAGTATGATTATCCGCTTACTGTGCCAGGTCTGGGAGAGGTGGGATATTCTCTTTATGTGATTATCAGATATCCTTTTGTGTGTGTGTGTGTGTGTGTGTGTGTGTGTGTGTGTGTGAAGTGCCTGTTCAGGTCTTTTTGCCAAGTTTAAAAAATGAGTTGTCTCTTGTTGATTTGTAGTAGTTCTTTATATATTCTGGCTACTAGTTCATTGTCAAATACACATATGACACATATCTTCAGCCATGTCTAAGGTTTTGGGAAATTTTTTTACTTCTCTGGGTCTCTATTTCCTCATCCGTGAAATAAAGACAAGACACACCTTATAAGGATGTCATGAAGCTTCAAGGAGGTAATATCGAAAAAGTGCTCAGAAAGATGCCGGCACGTAGTAAGCACTCCTGTTGTCATCAGGCCTGGCATGGGCCAATCCAGGAAGAGGAATCCAGTCCTCATCTTAATTTTGGATGGTCCTGAGTTCAAGGGGAGCAATAAATGGTCTTTTGCCAGGGCCACAGCAGATTCTGTACAGTGGCGTACTGATACAACGACCCTCCAAAAACAAGTTCTGATTTGTAGTGGTTGCTAATTGCCATGGTGTAAGTACTCCCTTCATGGCCAGTTTCAAACTAACAATGGTTTAACATCCAGCCTGCAGAATTACTGGAAATCTAGCAGTCTGTTCTCCGGAGCCAGTGAAAGTCATCTGCTGTGTACCCCAGCTCCTGTACCACCAGGTTGGGTTAACTTAGGTGGATCTCTTCCTCTCTGTGGATCTTCGTCCCTTCCACCTGTCTAAATGGGGCAAGTCGTCCAACTCATTCATGCAGTACTGATTTAGTGAGTACCTTCTATGTGTCAGTCACTGGGCTTGGCTCTGGAGATGCAGACTGAACAAAAGCAAAGAAGACCCTCCCTAGCAAAGATATTCTGAAGGTAGGGGCGGGGAGGGGGCAGGTAGGGTAATGACTGAAAATAAATAAGCAAGCACATGAAATCAGGAAATCATAAGATCTATGGAAAAAAACAAAGCAAGTATGACAGCTCTTGTGTTGGGAGGGGGTTTACTTTGGCTAGCATGATTGACAAAGGCTTCTTAAAGGTGACACCTGATATGGGGTGCCTCCGTGGCTCAGTCGGTTAAGCGTCTGCCTTCAGCTCAGGTCATGATCTCAGGGGCCTGGGATCTAGCCCTGCATCTGGCTCCCTGCTCAGCTGAGAGTCTCCTTCTCCCTTTTCCTCTGCCCCTCCTCCCACTTGTGTGCGCGCGCGCGCTCTCTCTCTCTTTCTCAAATAAATAAATAAAATCTTTTTTTTTAAGATTTTATTTATTTATTTGAGAGAGAGAGAATGAGAGAGAGCACGAGAGGGAAGAAGGTCAGAGGGAGAAGCAGACTCCCCGCTGAGCAGGGAGCCCGATGCGGGACTCGATCCCGGGACTCCAGGATCATGACCTGAGCCGAAGGCAGTCGCTTAACCAACTGAGCCACCCAGGCGCCCAATAAATAAAATCTTTAAAAAATAAAGGTGACCCCTGATAAAGAGTCTGGTACCAATCTGGTGGGAAGAGCATTCCAGCAGAGGGAACAGCCAGTGCGACAAAGACCTGTGGCTGCAACAAGTTTGGCTTGTTTGAGGAACAGAAAGCCAGAGCAGCTGGAGCTGAGTGAATGTTTGAGGCTGGGCGGGGGCATCGGCTGGTTTATGCGTTCAGGGGTTGTGCATCTGAAGGCAGAGGCAAAGGTGGACCAGGACACTGGCTGATGTAGTCAGAGCAGTCCTACAGGGGGCGATGGTGGCGGCTCAGACCGGTGAGAGTACCCAGGACAGGGAGAAGTGGACAGAGTAGAGACCCTGTTTTAAAGGCAGAGCAGGCTGCTCTTGCAGACAGACTAGATGTGGGGGGGAAGAAGGGAGGATGTGTTTGTGAGGTAGACTCCAGAAACTCCTGCCTGCAACTGCCGCAGACATGGAGTAGGTTGAGACTTCTCTTGCTTCAGAGGTCAGTACGGGAGACGGGGACAGGGACACCTCACCTGGCGGGCCCAGAGGGAGGACCCTACCTAGTGATGTAGGAAGGACGTTAGGGCTCGAAGCTGACGGCCAAGAAAGAATTCTTGAGACGTCTTTGGTGCAAAAAAAGTGGTTTTATTACAGCCTGGGGACAGGACCCATGGGCAGAACTGCCCTGGGGTTGTGAGGAGTGGCTCATTATATACTTTCAAGTTGGGAGGGGCTTAGGGATAGCGTAAGGCTCCCAGGTATTTTGGAGACGAGGTTTCCAGGATCCTGAAGGGGGCTAGCTATTGTTAGGAAAAGGTCATTTATTACTGTTTAGTAAAAACTCGGTCATGAGACCCTTCAGATGTATATAGGTGGGTCATATGCTTGGGGCATGGTTGTCAACATGTCTCTTGGGGGGTGGAGGGGGTAGAGAAAAAGGAAGTTTCCAAAGGAATTTTTATATGTTAAAGTAGACTTACAGGATCCCGGGGGTCGGGCTAAGATTGCCTTTTGCCCTTAGCAAAGTATTACCATCAAGGCAGCTGAGTTCTTAGAGGAATGTCACTTTGCCTGTTTCGAGGACTTGTCAATGAGCTGTAGACGGTAAAGAAACTTAATAATTTTTCTTCTGCCTTTGTTTCCCACATCACGTAGCAAGTGGGTGCCTGGTGGGACCAAGAGGAAAGAGGTTGTTGGGATACTGGGCAGAGCCAGCAGTTTCCCCAGGATCTCTCTTCTTTTCTCAATAACCTTGGGAAATAAAGATGATTCCCTCTTGCGGGGCAGACAGGGAGGTTCTGGGAAGAGAAGTGACTTGTCTAAGGTCACACAGCCAAGTAAGTGAAAGAATGGGGAGTCCAGATTTTCTGCACCTTACCATCTCCTCCCCAGTCCCACGCCCAGGTTCCTGGTCGTGCCCCATTCCCCCTGTTATCCTGAGAAGGAGGACTGGAGTAAAGAGAAAAAGGAAATTTTACTCCAAGAGGCAGTGTTATTCATGAAAGTAGATAGAGAAGCTGAACTGTGTCCTGCAAGAAAAGGAACTGGAATCCTAGACTCCTGGGTCTGAGAGAAGAGGGACTGGGGGCCTGGACTCCTGGGTCTGAGGGAGGATGATATTGGGACCCAAAGCAGAAGGGAGGTGGGCTCAGGAAATGTCCCCGATCCAGGGTTCTGGGGATCCGAGATGGGAAGACGTGGGGACGCCCGGGGCGGGAGGGGGTAGGGGCCGGGCCGCAGTAACAAAGGCCTCTCCCTCCAACAAGCAACCCCCCCTCGGCTCCGCCTCCCCGGCCCCCCGCCTCCCCTGATTGGTCGGCCTTCCTGCCCGTCAGCGCCGCCCCCCTCCCCGGGTCTGCAGCAGCTCCGGCCGCCTCGTCGCGCCCCCCCAGCCCCCTCCCCCCGCCCCCGCCGCCCCCCGGGCCGGTGCAGCCGCAGGCGGGGTCCCCCTCCCCCTCCCCCTCTCCCCCCGGCCTCGCGCGCCCCGGACCGGCCCCCCCCTTTCCCCTCCCCCTTCGCGCCGCCGCTGCCGCGATGCGCCCCCCTGCGCCCGGGGCCCGGCTCCGGCTTCTCGCCGCCGCCGCCCTGGCCGGCCTGGCCGTCATCAGCCGAGGTACCGCAGCGTCGGGGGCGGGGGGGCTCGGCCGGGACATCGGGGTCCCGAGCCGGGATTGGGGGTGGGGGGCTGCATCCCGGGCGGGGAAGGGGGGGGCCCCCGGGCGCTGAGGTCTGGGCCCCGGGGCGGGGGCTGCATCCCCTGGCAGGGAAGGGGGTCTCGGACGTCTGGATTCGTGCCCGGGGGCAGGGTTCCGCGTCCGGGGGCTCGAGCCTGGGGCCTAGGGACGGAGGTCGGCTTCTCCGGGCCGGCGACAGGGTAGCGGACACCTGATCCCGGCCTGGGGGCGGGAGTCTGCGGCTCCGGCTCAGGGAGGGGGATCGAACGCTAAAGTAAGGGTCCCTGGGCAGGATCTCTGAACTGAGTTGGGGTGTGGAGGGGAAGTAGGATGCCCCGTCGGGGGTCTTCATCTCTGAGTGGAGACAGTCCCTGAGGGGGTCCTGGCCTGAGGGCTGGGGTGGGCGTTTCTGGGCAAAGGTGGGGGGATGGTGTCTTCCCAGGGTCCGTAAGAGAAGGCGGCAGGGGTATCCACAGACTTCCATCCCAGCGCCAGGAAAAGAAGAGGGACTCTGGCCTCCCAGCTGGGTCACCTAGGTGGGGAGAAATTGTTGGTGTTTGGGAGGTTGCAGTTATGTAGGGGAATGGAGCTGGTGATCCAGGAAGTTGGGGGCGCTGGGCTGGGGACTCAGACGTAGGAAGCTCTGGCTGAATAGCGGGGTTCAGAGGCTGGACTGAGGACGAGAGGGGGCAGATTAAGAAGGGAGGGAAGGGAAGGGTTAACACAGGGTCAAAGGGTTAATCTCAGCCCTACTGAGACTGGGGACCAGTGGGGCCGGGGGCTGCTGTGTGGAGTGCGGAAGGGGAACCTGGGCAGCCTCTGGAGAGAGGATGTGGATGTCTGCTGGACCCTGTGTCTCCCCGAGGCCCCGGGATGGTCCAGGACGTGCCCCCTGAGGAGAGGAGGAGAGAGCAAGAAGGCAGGAGGCAGGGATCAGGGTTAACTCAGTGCTTCTGGAGGGTTCCCCCAGGCCCTGCCCTGAACCAAGGGACGCACCATCAGGGACAACCTAGAGTCTTCACCAGTCTCAAGGAGGCAGCCACGCTCAGCCTCCCACCCCCACACACCGGGTCACGCACAGACACAGAAACACCCGTCACCGAGTCTGACCCGGAGCCGCGCCCGGAGGCACCCAGGCACACAAACGCAGCCCCGTGCACGCAGGACCCCACACCCCCGGGCCTCGGCAGGCTGGAGCCTCAGTGGGTTGGCGGGTCCTCCAGCCCGGCCCGTCTGAATCACCGTCTGACGCTCGGACGGCCTGTCTGCCTCTCTGTCTCTGTCACTCGTCTCTTGAGGTCATTTCCAGAGGCTCCCTAGCTCTGGGGGACATCCCATTTGTCTCTGTCTCTGGGTCTCTGTCTCTCCATCCCTGCTGGCCTCAGCACAATTTCACATCTGTCCCTTCCTGCCTCAGGAACTGCTTCCCAGCGTCACACACGTGTGCCTGCCCCCTCCTGGCCCCCTTGGTCCTCGCTCCCTTCACTCCTGGGAATTCATGTCCCATCACGGTCACCGACACCTCCCATTTTTGCCCTTGTCCTTTCCTTGTCTCTCGTCTTCTCCTTCTGCGGCTCCTCATGCTCTCGGGACCCCCGTCCTTTCTCTCCTCCCCCTTCACCAACCCTTCTCTCCCTTCAGTCTCAAGATAACTTCCCACTTTCCATTTTGAATCTTCCAGGTCCCAGAAATTGCTGTTGCACACATATCCTGGGCTGGGAGCTTCTTGGAGCCAGGAAGCGGCCTGTGACCTAGGTCAAGTCCTCTCCTGCTCCTGGGCGTTGGGTTCCCCATGGGAGATCCGGGGCCGAGAGGGAATGGGGCCGGCGGGGGGGTACGGGTGGTCTGAGACAGATCTAGGTGGCCGCAAGACAGCCCCACCCCCTGACAGTTGGTGCGTTCTGAGCAAAAGTGGGGGGTGGGGCTGGGCACATATACAAAATTGCATTTTCTCTCCTCTCTGATTCATTTGCTCTTTTCCAAATTCCAGAAGGAATGCATGCAAGTGAGCAATCCTCTACAAATACGTATTAGAGCAGATCCGGTGCTTGTCCCGGCCCCACCCCTCCCAAAACGCACTCTCTGCACTCTCTTGAGAGACCCCAGGTCACGGCTTTTCCCTCACTCAAAGTCAGACACGCAGAGTTGAACATATGTAAGGTATTGGTTTGTTGGTGGATGTTTTCCCTGAGATAGAAACAAAATAAGCCCATTTCTCTGCAACTGGCTTTTTTTTTTTTTCCCACTTAACTTTAGCTCCCCGGCATCCAGAGATATGATTCTATCTTTAGTTTCTTCTCTAAATTCTTTATGCCAACACTCACACTCACACATATATATATTCACTTCCAGAGGCTGCTGCAGCAAGCGATGTAGGGCGGCTCCTTTGCTCCCTGGCCGGCCGGCGAGGGGTGTTGGACAGATTGGGGCAGGCAGAACGGGGCGCGCCGGCCACTGTCCACGGCCCTCTGGGCACCCGCTCTGTCCGGACCGGATATTTGACAAATATTTACTGAGCACAGAGTCTCTGTTCTGGGCACTGGGGATCTATATATACGTGGCCATGAGCAAGCCAGATGAATCAAGGAGCTCTCAAGGAACCTCTATCCTAGTGGGATGGAGAGAGATCACCACCTAAAAACAGGCAAATAAGTAAACAGGTAATTTCAGAGAGTGACAACGAGTAGTGTAAAGAAATTAAGAGTGACTTCAGGGACGAGCTGACCATGGGAGCTCTGGGGGTTGAGAGAGCCCTCTCTGAGCTGCAGGGCGCGGAGTTCAGACTGAAAGAAGTCAGCCTTTAAAAGATCCTGAGGAAGCAGTGGAGGCAAAGGTCCTGAGGTGGGAACCAGCAGAAAGGAACAGCCAATGTGTAATGGAAAGTTCCAGGGCTCTTGGCTCAGCGTCTGGAGTCCAGGCATCTGTCCTGGGAAGGCCCCTACACTTGGAGGTCAGCAGAGAGGAAGGGGGCTCTGGGCTCTGGGGCTTCCAGCGCCTTCTCACCAGCTCTTCCCTGCCAGAGCCACACCCCCTCCCAGTGCATTCCCCACCCGTCCCTGGGTCCAGCCTCACTTCCGCCACAGCTCCCTGAGTGACCGCCACAAGTCACACACGCTTGTGGGCCTCGGCTTCCCCTCGGTGGGTTCCAGAACTGTGGAATCCAAGCCTTCCCTCATTGGAGGGTCCCAGCTCCACCAAAGCTCCCCCTTTGAGGGTTAGCAGGAGGTGCTTATCTCCAACCCAAGGCCCTCCATCTTGTTAGAAATCTCTTTCTCTCTTAAGGGGAGGAAGCTCACCTACCAGTGACCTTCATCCCTTGACTTATCAAGCAGGTGTGAGGGCTACTAGTGCAGACTGACAGGGACCCGAGCGGTCCTTCTCGTCACCACTGGCCCCCCAGACCAGCTGGGGCACCTGCCACATCATCATCCCATCGGCCAGCGCACGTGAGGGCTGTTGGCAAGCCCTCAGCTAGCAGGCTCTGCATTGAACCTGTTGCTTGGGTGACCTCTTCTCATCCTCCCCCCGCCCACAGCGTGGTGCGGGAGGCCCAGTGATCGTCCCCATTTACACAGGGAGAAACTTGAGTCCCAGGGGCGTGAAGGAATTTGTGCAACTAACTGGCAGCGCGGGACTCGAACCCCGGCCGCCCGGGTCCCCAGTCTGTTCTTTCAGCGGCCCAGTCACGCTAGCTTGGTGGTGTCAGAGCAGATGTTGACAGGGCATCTGTACATGAGTCACCGACTCAACTCCGGTGGGTGCAGCGCACAGAGCAACGGATGCCCCGCCCCCACCCTGGGGGGCTGACACCGAACCAGGGATAGCAATAGATGTTTCTTAAAAAAGAAGGAACAGCTAACATTTATTGGACCCTTTCTGCATGCTAAGTGCTGAGCTAAACATTTTGCTTGCATGTTTCATGGACTCCCTCACAAAACCCTCAGAGGGAAGGACTGTTGTTTTTTTTTCTCCCCCTTTTAATAGATGGGGAAACTGAGGCTCAGACTGTCCAGGGTTCACCCAGCCAGGATATGGTGGGGCAGACATCTGATCTCCTAGCACAGATTCCTCCTGGCTTTCTTATCCAGTCTCTCAAGAGCATTCATTCTCCCTACAAACACTTCCCTGTTCTGGGCTAAGCCGAGCTCTGGGGAACACAGCCAAGATTCTGGGCTAAGCCTAGCTCTGGGGGACACAGCCAAGATCCTGGGCTAAGCCTAGCTCTGGGGGACACAGCCAAGACACTGTCCCAGCTGAGTCAGAGGGTATCCAGTAGAAAGTGTTGAGACTCTCTGTCTTGAACAGTCAGGGAGGCCCTCCTGGAGGAGGGGGCACTTGAGTTTGGGGCTTGAAGAATGAGTAGGAGTTCAAGAGTGGAAGACATGTGTTGTAGGTATCTATTTACATTCACTCTTTCAACAAATATTTCCCAAGGCCTTCCAGGGTCACGCCGTATGCTGGGAGATGCTGAGGATACAGACCTGAGTCAGCCCCAGGGTCTGCCCTCAAGAAACTTCTAGTCTGAAGGGGGAAACAGACACAGGTGGCCACCATGGTGGGATGTGAGCTCTAATGGCGGTAGTCCAGGCATTGTGGGAATACAGACCAGGCTTGGAGGGGGTAGGGAGGGCTTCCCAGTATTAAGGGAGAGTTTTCCAAACAGAATTCCTACAGACTGGATCTCACGAGCACCAGCTTGTTTATTTATACATTAAACGTCTTTCGAGGACTCCTGTGGGCCAAGCCCAGAGCCAGCAAAGCTGGAACCCTGGAGGGGGGTCAGACCTACGCCCCTCCCTGAGGGGCTCCCATCTGGTGAGGGAAGCAGGCTCAGACAGGATCTGGGGTGATCAGGACAAGACAGAGGGAAGAGCCGTGCTCAGGGACAGAGTGGGTGATGGAATGACTAACATGGCCTGTACCTCCACTTACTGAAGCCCAGAAAAGGGAAGGGACTTGCCCAAGGTCACACAGCAGGGGTGGGGGTCCTGATCCTGGAGCCTGGGAGTTGTGTGAGACAGGCATGCAGACTCATGACATCCAAATGTATAGACACAGGGACCAAGAATCCAAGACCCGCCTGAGACATGGATTCCTTCATCACTTATCTCCTGGGACTGCCCTCTAGCTGAGCCTGGAGCTGGGCATGCTGGGGACACAGATGGTCTGGGCCAGGCTCTGCCCTGGAGGAGCAGGTGGGGGAGGAAGATGACTCTGATCCAAGGTGCCCTGGGAACAGGGCAGGAGCTCATATGTGCCGTCTCTCCTAGGAGAGGCCTCATTATACTAGACCCCTGGGGAAGGAGAAGCATTTTTTGTCATAAACCGTGGAACAGAGGGACAAGGAGAAAAGTGGGGAACGCAGAGCTGGGCTACATACACGCACTAGGGGAGACAAAGCAGGAGAGTGACCCCAGGGCCCCAGACCCAGGTTGAGGGGCTGGACCTTTGTCCTGGGGGCAGTAGGGAGCCACGGGAGCAGGGGGGCCGCTCTGAGTGTTGGAAAGATCCCTCTGGAAGGAGTGTGTGTCTATCTCTATTTCTGTCTGTCAGGACATAGGATTGAGGTCCTGCCTGCCCGTGTCTGTGGGCTTAGCTCCTGCGGGCAGCAGCTGGGTGTAGTCCAGGGCTTAGCCCGGGAGCCCTGGGTCCCTGCAGCTTGGGGGGACCTTGGACAGCTCCGTCTTCAACTCTAGACCTCCTGTAACCTTGGAGGTTTGGGTGTCTTTGGGCGAGGTGGGGGGGATTGTGCCCCCTGCGGGGCATCGGGCAATGTCCAGAGGCACTTGTGGTGGTCACCACTGTGAAGTGGGGGAAGCTACTGGCATCGACTGGGTAGGGGCCAGGGATGCTGCTGAACATCCTGTGGTGCGGAGTTCCTACAGTCCCTCGTGGGGACAGGAGAGTCCCCACAGTGGAGAAGCATCTGGCCCCAAACGTCGTGGGCCCAACGTGGAGAAGGCTTAACAGTGTGTGAGCAGGAGTATGACAGGTCCCATGGCATGTGCGCTCGGATGTGTGTGTGATCTGATCGTCAGTGACAGCGTGACTGCGTGTGCCCGATTCTTGGCCCAGGGCGGCTCCTTTGTATTTGACAGACTCTGACAGTCTAACTGTTTCCTTGCACTCTGTAGCTTTCTGCACGACTTTCCAGAGTGCAGGGGCGGGGGGTGGTGAGCATGGCCCTTGGGCTTGTACCGTCAGCATGACTGATGAGGCCAGTGTGTGTGTGTGTGTGTGTGTGTGTGAGAGAGAGAGAGAGAGAGAGAGAGACGGCCCCTGGATGGGGCTGTAACTGGTTGTATGTGGACTGCACCTGCGTGTGTGGGGCTCTTAGTGTTGGTGCAACAGCATGGGTCTAGTTGTATATGGTGGGGTGACCTTCTGCTGGGGCTGGGTGCTGGGCTGTGTGTCAGCAGGAGCATGTGTGCACCTGGGCCCTTGAGCAGGCCCCGTTGCCATCCGGTGTTGGAGTGTCGGACCGTCCCCTGGCCCAGCCCGGTCTCTGGGTGTCTCCCCTGGGCCCTGGCGATGTGTCTCTGTCTGTGTGTGTCCATCTCCCGGCCGTCTCCTGCTGTTACCAGGGCTGTGTGTGGCAGCGTCCACTCTGCACAGCTCGGGGGAAGGCAGGCCCCTTCCCTGTATCCAAGAGTGACTCCGGCCACAGTGAGGGGCTGCAGGGCCCACCCCAAAGCCCCGGGACCTGGGGAGCCCACCGCACTGGCCCTGCCCCAGCCCAGTCCTGAGGGGCTGCTGATGGAGAGGGCCCCCGGGAGTCGTTGGGGTGGCACGGGCAATTAATTCATTAGATTAATTAGCTCCTCATGCCAGGGCGGTGGCAGGGCAGCCCCACGCAGGGCCCTCCTTCCCCAGGCATCCAAGGTCATCCAGCCTCCTCTCCCCTGCCCGGTGCCGGCTCCATCCGCCTCCACATGCCCAGCCCCCACTCCCTGGACCTGGTCCAGCCCACTGGCCGCGGTCCACGGAGATGAATAGGTGGGGGCGGGGACTCTGCCGGGCGATGGTGCCCATGAGCTGTGCTGGAGGGTGCGGGCAGGCGTGGGCATGTGCCTGCGAGTGTGCCCTGTGAGCATGGGCAGGTGGGTGTGTCTGGAGACGCACGTGTGGGGCTGTACACAGGGCCCGAGGGTGTATCTGTGCGTCTGGGATAGGGGTGTGTCCGAGTGGACACACGCATGCATCTGTGTTTCTGAACTGATACGTGCCACATGTATCTGCGTGTACGTACGTATGCATCATGAGCTGGATGTGTGTGTGTGCCCCTGTACGTGTGCACCTGTGCGTTCTTGAACTTTGAGCGTGTGTGCGCACACGGTGTGTCTGTGTGCTGTAATTGGAGTGTCTCTGGAGGAGTGTAGGCTTGTGTGTCCCAGTCTGTCTGAGTCAGTGTGAGCTTGCGGAAAGGAACATGTTGCGTGTGTTTGCTCCGAGCGCGTCTGCCGTGCATCTCCGGAAACATCGATGAATGTGTGTGCCCGGGAGTGTGGGAAATGTCTGTGTCTGCAAGGGCATGTGCGCGTGCGTGCAGACGTGTCCAGTCCCTGCTGCGCTGCCCCTCCCATCCACAGGGCTGCTGTCCCAGAGCCTGGAGTTCAGCTCTCCTGCGGACAACTACACGGTGTGCGAAGGTGACAACGCCACCCTCAGGTACCTCCCATCTCGGGGACTCCGAAATCACCCGGTCCTGCTCCTTGGCCTTCCTTAGGGGAAGACAGTCCTGACCCACACGCACAGCCTGGCCCCTGTCGGTCAGGAAAAGTAGTTAGAGGCATGGACTCTAGGCCTGGTTCTGTGCCTGGGCCTCAGTGTCCCCATCTGTCAAATGGGTGGAGGAATGATAACCACTGTGAGGGCTATCATGGGGATTCAAGATTTTGTACTCACACTCCAAATTCAGAGAGCATGGCACACTGTGACCGCTTAGCAGACGAGAGTCAGGCTTATTTCCTCCGGACAGTGCTGCTCCCCACACTGGGTCTGCCCCTCCCTCTGGTCTCTGTCCCCCTCTCCCTGGGGGTCTCTCTCCCTCATCTCTGCAACTCTGTCTCTCCTAGAGTGCTCCAGATACTTTTCCAGTCTCTAGCACACAACAATCACTCAGTAACCATCAGCTAACCTTCCTCTGTGCAGTTGGGCTCAAACTTGAGGCTCAGTTTACCCACTTGTAAAGTGGGCACAATCACCTCTGCCTCACAGGGCCTCAGTGGGACTTGGTAATGCAGTAGGCCTTCCTCTCCCCACCTCCAAGCCCCTACGATGGCGGAACCTGGAGGGCCTTCTGGGGTGGGGGAGAGAAGAACCCTCCTCCCTTGTCCTCCCTGAAGCTGCTTCATTGACGAGCATGTGACCCGCGTGGCCTGGCTGAACCGCTCCAACATCCTGTACGCGGGCAATGACCGCTGGACCAGCGACCCGCGGGTGCGGCTGCTCATCAACACGCCCGAGGAGTTCTCCATCCTCATCACCCAGGTGGGGCTCGGCGACGAGGGCCTCTACACCTGCTCCTTCCAGACCCGCCACCAGCCGTACACCACTCAGGTCTACCTCATCGTCCATGGTGAGCCCTCAGCCGGGCCTTGGGTGGCGGAGGGCGTGGAGGGCGCGAGGGAGAAGGGATCCTCGCATCCTCACCACTTGTTCGATCCCTGATCCCGGGGGTACATGGTGTGAAAGGCAGGCACACACCCTGCCCTCGCGGATTTCAGCCAAGCAAAAGGAGGGACAGTCTCCCAGAAAGTGACACTTCAGCATGACAGCTTCTAGGGCAGGAGAGCTGCAGGGGTGAGGGGGTGCTCAGGGAAGGCTGCAGCCATCCACTCAGCTCTGTTTGCTGAGCACCTACTATGTGCAGGCATTGCTCTAGGCCCCGGGGGATGGAGAAGGAGCCAGGCAGGCCGTTCCTGCCCTTTTGAAGTTGGCTTTCTAAGGAGGCGGCTTCCCAGACATAATGTCTGAGCTGAGACCTTCAGCTGGGGGCAGAGCTGGTACTGGAAACGGAGCGGCGCTGCAGGGGCCAGGGGAGAAAACGAGTCAGGTGTGCAGAACAGGTCCCGTGTGGCAGGATGCCCTAGAATTCAGAGAGCGAGAGGTGGGCAGGAGACAGAGAGAGCAACAGGGGACAGAGCTCAGGTGGCTGGAGGGCAGGGAGCAGTTGGAGAGACAGGGAACCAGAGACAGAGACAGCCCAGCGGGGCCATGACGAGCCCCGACTCGGGAGCCAGACCACCCAGGTGCTGAGGGACCCTGAGCAAACAGGGCGGCCTCGGACTCCTCGTCTGCAAAATGGGGATGACTCTGTCGTGCATCAAGTCCAAGACATGGTCAACTACAAGGGGCATCTTTATTTTATGCTCTGCCAAAAAAGAAAAGAAAAGTGGCCCTGCCAATTAAACTCCAGCATCCTATGTTGTCAGGCCATCCTGATTGGAGCAATGTTCCAGCGGGCGCGGGAAACAGCCATGTGTGTTAGAATTGACGAATAGAGCAACATCTACGCCAGGGGTTGGCAGGGTGGTGAAGGTTTAATGAGCTAATTTGTGTAAAACACTTAGAACAGGGTTACCATGCCGGAAGCACCATATGAGTATTTGTTATAGAAATTAATTGTTTAAAATAAGAATGATAACAATAATTAAAAGTAGACAGAGATAAGGTGGGAGGAATTCAAACCAGAAGGCAGAGAAACCAAGTTAGGATGAAGGGAGAGAGAGAGAGACAGAGACAGAGACTGAGAAAGAACAGGAAAGAGAGAGACCAGCAGTTAGACAAGGAGCCAGACCTAGAGGGGCAAGGGGGAAACACAGAGGAATTCTTAGAAAGACAGAGGGCATGCTGGCTGGACCCCTGGGTCTAAGGGAGGAGGGGCTGGGGTCCAGGGCTCCTGGGTCCTGGGAGGCCATATTCAGCCTCTTGCTGACCTCTCCCCTCCCGGCCTGCAGTCCCCGCCCGCATCGTGAACATCTCCTCGCCTGTGACAGTGAATGAGGGGGGCAACGTGAACCTGCTTTGCCTGGCCGTGGGACGGCCGGAGCCCACAGTCACCTGGAGGCAGCTCCGAGGTGAGGACCCCACCCCTGGCCCAAAGCCCCTTACCCCGCTCCACAATCTGGGCCCCTCGATTCCCCAGATCCCTAGCTAGTTTCCCAGAGTCCCCCCTTCCATGACTGGCCTCCCTCCCTCCACCCTGATCCCATTATGTCACCAGCAGCCCCCAGAGCCTTAGAGCCTTCACCACCTGCAGGCCTGAACCATTTCCTCTAACTCAACTGCTAGACCCCAGCCTGCACCCCGTCCCCACCCCAGGAGCCCTGGTCTCTTCCCCACCGGCTCACATAATTCTGGGTTCTGAATCCCTACCACTAACCCTGAGTCACGTTATAACCAGTGACCCCTGCCCCCGTTCCCATCTCCTGGTCACCTCACTACATCTCCTCTGCGGGACGCTCTAGCTCAGCAGTTCTCAAAGCGTGGTCCCCAGACCAGCAGCATCGGCGTCACCGGGAGCTTGCCAGAAATGCACATTCTGGGCCCATCCCAGGCCTAATGAATTAGAACCTCCCTCCACCCACCACCCCCACCAGTGTGTTTTAACAAGCCCTTCAGGTGATTCTGGTGACGGAGCTGAGAACCTCTACTCTAGGACTCCCCCAAACATAGCACCAAGCTACCCGAACAGGACATCCCAGATCCTGGATATCCACCACCCTTTTACCTGGATCTCCACCCCTACCCCCCAGATCCCTAGACCCTCATTCACTGGGTCTTTAGAGACCAAGGGTGCCAATCACTCTATCCCCTGGGACCCCAGAACCCAATAACTAGGTCTTAGATCCTGGATCCTTTCCCACCTGGTCATCTGAGCCCCACAATCCTGGGCTGGAGGCCCTGGGTCCCTGGATGCCCTTAGTCCCAAAGGATCTTCTGAACCTGGTGATGTGTCATGAGCCCCCAGGTATCTGGATTGCTGATCCCAATTACTAGATCCTGATTCCCTGAACCCAAGAATAAGATCCCAGAACTCTGGACCCGCCCCCTTGGGTCTGTGTTATCTGGATCTTTCTGAGCTCCAAGATCCTGGGATCCTCCCCACTGGGTACTGTGAGCCTCATGATCTGAATTGTGAGCTCCCGGATCCCTGGATCTGTTGCATCCCCAAATTCTAGGACCCTCCCCACTGGGTTCTAGTTACAAGCCCCAGACCCTCATTCCCTGCCCCACCCCTAGGAGGAGACCCCAGGCGGCGGATCCACACTCCCGCCCCAAACCCCTGCAGACCCCTGCTGGCTCTCACTGACCCGGGCACTCCAGGCCCTGCGGTGCCTGCCCGGCTGATGTGTGTCCGTGTTGTGCCCGTGTTGTCCCGTGTTAAGTGTTTGTGTCCGGCCCCGCCCCCTCCCCTTCCCTCCCCGCACAGACGGCTTCACCTCGGAGGGCGAGATCCTGGAGATTTCTGACATCCAGCGAGGCCAGGCCGGGGAATATGAGTGCATGACTCACAACGGCGTGAACTCGGCACCTGACAGCCGCCGTGTGCTGGTCACAGTCAACTGTGAGCCCTTTGGCACTGGGCATGAAAGGGGGGCAGGCCCTGGGTCCCTGGGGAGGAGGATGGGGGTGCTGGACTCTTGGGAAGGAGGGGGATGGGGACAGAACCCCTTAGTCCTCACCTCGTTGGAGAATTCGCTAACTCTCGCCCTCGCCAGATCCTCCGACCATCACGGACGTGACCAGCGCCCGCACGGCCCTGGGCCGGGCCGCCCTTCTGCGCTGCGAAGCCATGGCGGTGCCCCCCGCGGACTTCCAGTGGTACAAGGATGACAGACTGTGAGGACAGCACCGGGGCGGGCCAAGGGGGAGGTGGGGAAGGTAGCCGAGCCCTAGGTCCCGAGAACTGGGGAATCCAGCTTCCAGGCGATGGGGTCCGCTGGGCCCCAGCGAGATCGCGGGGGCTTACTGGAAACTTGGGTCCCACAATGATGAATGTTGGAAGCTTGGTCTCTTCAGGCTATTCAGGGAGATGTTCGGGGGTCGATGCTGAGGATGTGGCGGGGAAGCTTCAGAGGACCACTGGGGTGGGGGTCCAGCAGGGTCTGGGAGGCTGTAGAGGTTGGGGGCACACGCTGGGAGAGTCCAGTGACCCTGAGGGGCAGGGGTGCCTGGAGAGGGGTGTCTGTGGGAGTGGTCTGGGGACCCATGGACAGCTAGAGCCCGAAGCCAGGGATCTCTGGGGCAGGGGGCAGAATGCGGGGTCCCCGGGAAATCGGGGAGCCTGAGAGTCGGGGGGAGTGGGCTCTGCGGCCCGAGGGGGTCCCGGACCAGGGTTCCACGGCCCGGTCCCTGACCCGGATCCCCGGCAGGCTGATCAGCGGCACAGCCGAGGGCTTGAAGGTGCAGACGGAGCGCACCCGCTCGATGCTTCTCTTCGCCAACGTGAGCGCCCGGCATTACGGCAACTACACCTGTCGCGCCGCCAACCGGCTGGGAACGTCCAGCGCTTCCATGCGGCTCCTGCGTGCGTCCGAGAGGCAGGGGCGGGGCCGGGCGGGGGGCGGGACCGGGACTGCCCCCTAGACTGACCGCGAACTTGGGAAAGTGACGGACGCTGAGACCCAAGCAATGGGACTGAGCGAGAAACCCATCCCTTCAATGAATGTCGATTCATTGAGTGTCCACTAGGGGGCGGAACTGAGACTTGAATGGTAAGAAGCAGCCAGCCTTGCCAAGATCTGCGCGAAGAGCTTTGCGGGCGGAGGGAACGGTGTATGTATGCAAAGGCACAGTAAGGAGGCTAGCATGACCTGAGCAGAGTGATCACCGTGGAGCCTGAGGCTAAAGAGGAAGGGAGAGGCAGAGTCTCATGGGCCACGGAAAGGATTTTGGATTTTATTCTACTGCAGGGTGAGGCCGCTGGAGGCTATTAAGCAAGGGACTGACCAAGCGGTTGACGCTTCTAAAGAGAAACACTGTTTGAGGAATGGCCTGTAGGGGGCGCAAGATGGAGGCAGAGGGACCAGGGAGGAGGAGGCTCCGGCAGTAATCGAGGCCCCGAGCAGTAGCACAAAGTCGCTCTATCGGGGAGATGTTTTGAAGGTGGAGGGAAGAAGGAAGTGGAGTCGTGGCGATCCCAGGTGTTGGCTCGAGTAGCTGGGTGAATGGGGATGTAGTAGTAAAGTATTGAAGTGGAGAGAGATCGGGGAGGGGGCAGTAGCCAGTCTCGGGGAGAAGAGTCAAGAGTACCACCTCGGCCGCGCTGACTGCAAGACGCTTCGTAGCCATCCTGGGTAGACGTAAACGGTGCGATGTGAAGATCTGAGAAAGACAGGGAATGAGAGAGAGGGACTGAGTGGCAGAGAGAAACAATGTTCAGCAAGATGCTAAGACTCCGAACAGAGTGGGGAGAGCAGGCACACTGAGCGAAAGCCCCAGAAAGGCCCCTAGAGAGGGAGGCTCAGAGACACCCTCAGAGACAGGGCGGCCACAAGGCACCGCCGGACACACATGGGGTCTCCCCCTCCCAGGCCACTCCTGTGACCCTCTCTCTTTCCCCAGGCCCAGGATCCCTGGAGAACTCAGCCCCGAGGCCCCCGGGGCCCCTGACCCTCCTCTCGGCCCTGGGCTGGCTGTGGTGGAGGATGTAGGAAGAACCCAGTGCAGCTCGCCTCCCCCTGCGCGGGGCCTGAGGCCGGGAGCGAGAGAAAAAGGGAGAGCAAGCGCCGTGGGTCTTGAGGGGGCGGAAGAGCTCTCTGCCACCGAGGACGAAGAAGGGAGGAAGAGGAGGAAAGCTCTTTAGAGAACCCATCACTGTGAGGGATAACGCAAAATTATGCATCTTTCTACAGCCATTTTCGCCACCGTTCACGTTTCCGATTGTGACCCTCCCCCGGCCACCCCACACCCCTCTCTTAGCTCAGGCTGTCAACTGGATCGTGTGTATGTAGTGGGTGTGTGTGAGCATGAGCCTGCACGTGTGTGTGTGTGGGGGGGGAAGGGGCTCAGCAATCTTCCCTCCCCTAAAACCCCCACGCCCACTGCCCCCAATGCTGCTGCCTCTCACCTCTGGCTGGAGGTAGGTATGTGGGCTTCGTGGCAGAAGCTGTGAGGAGAGGTTTTCCAGGCTCCCCAGGTTCCCAATATATGCACGCGCACCACCCCCTCCCCTCCCTGTTGAGTGTCTCCTGGCCAGGCTGGGAGTGAGGAGGGCTGTCTCGCACTCACCTGTCAAGCTATCATTCAGCCTTTGTGAGCAGGTGGGGGATCTCCATCTTGGCTCTGGGCCTCCTTGCTGTCAACCACCAGCTGCCTGTAGCCAGAGGCCCCATCACTGGCTCAGCAGCCTGAGACCTTCCCACTTTCTCTGCCCCCCTCCCCTACCCCAACTTTCTGGCCCCATCTGGGCCAATCGGTGCTTCCATCCAACTGTCAGACTGGTGCCTGTGGTCACCTGTCTGTCTCAGTGCTTTGCCCTACCCCACCCCCGCCCGACTCCCCTCGGCCCCCTGCAGCCACCCACAGGTGTGGGCTTGCCGGTCTACCACTCCCTGGCCTCTCCACCGACTGTACCTCCCAAAGGCTGACCTGACGGCCCTCACACACACTCTGACAGACACACACACACACACATACCAGCGACTGTGACCAGCAATAGCCCCCTGGCTCCAGCTGACCTATAGCTGGTGACCAGCTTGTAGTTCCCCTGAGGGTGGGCAACTTGTCAGGAGGGGGCACTGAGAGGCTGTAACCTCAGCTCTGCTAGTAGGAATATGCAATCCTGGCACACCACATCACACAAAGTGGGGAAGAGAGAGACATCACACAGGCAACCCCAGTCCAGACCAAGATGTCAAGTCACCAGTTCTGACTCCTGGGAGACCCGCTAGAAACACTCACCCCAAACCACACTACCCAGAGCTTGGGGAGGAAGAACTCAGAGCAGGGGCAGGGGGGCAAGGGGCAGTGACTGTACCTCAGACGGGGGCGTGGGCCCCATCCCACATTGTCTTCCATCCCCAGGGTCCAGGGGGTTGGGGAGGGGTGGGGGAGGGATGCCAGGGAGGGGGCGGGGGGCCCTGGGGGCCGTGTGTTCCGATTCATGGGGAGTGTTGAGACCACCACACCAATAAACGCCTTTTTCCAAAGTCTCTGCCTGCCAAGTGTCGGGGTCATTAAGGATTTGGGTGAGTGGAGGGCAAAGGGTCGTTGGTGGTGCCTCCCTAACGTCAATTCTACCCTCTCTCTCTCTTTTGGTAAATTTGGAGTTGATCCATTACACAATGATGCGAGGTCTATCTAGATCTGCACAAGTTGCTTTTCCCCATTACATGGAAGATCTTGGGTCTGTGGGGATAGTGGTGGGGCAGACAGCATGTCCAGGCTGAGAATGATAGAAACACGACAGAGCACACGGTGGAAGGTCTAAAGAAACTGAGTCCATGGTGACATCGTCTGAGTAGCTGGATCAAAATGTACCTGTTGCCCACCTTCATTTACATAAGCAATACAGTCCCCTGAATGTATAACCAAGTTGTGTTATGTTTCTTACTAGTGATTAAAAGGGAAATGAAAGGTCTAACTGATATAGAAAAGATATAGAGGATCCAGGTACCCAGGACCCCAGCCTTCACCTTTCCAAAAAGATCCAAGAGCTCTGTTTCCCTAAAGGCCTCTTTCATCCCAATCTTTAACCAGAATCCCTCACATCCTTCCCTTCCCTGAGACGGATGCATTAGTTGTTTCTTCCTTCCTTGCTATCAGACCCACCTCCCATGATATAGGCTGAGATGTTTGGTTTCCCAGCCTCCCTTGCAGTGATGTGGCTAATTTGGGGTCAATAAGGGAAGTTTGCCGATGGGCTTCCAGGAAAGTTTTTTCCTCACTCTTGAGGTTGGTCGAGGGAAGGGGTGTGGGAAGGGAACCTTGCTCCCTTCCTTTTGTCTTCAGATACAGTTGTGTGAAGGGGTGATGCCTGGAGCTCTAGCAGCCATCTTGCCACATAAGACAAGATGCCAACCCACTGAGGGTGGCCGAACAGAAGGATGCAGAGAGCTCAGGTCCTTCATGGGGTTGCTAAGTTGCTGAGCCAGCCTGAAACCACCATTTATTTTGCTACCATTTATTCTGTTACTTGCAGCTAAGGGAATCTTCATTGACACACTCCCTAAATTTCCAATGAGAAACCCAGCTAAGAAAGAAAGGCATCATGCTGGGGAGAGCAGCCTCAAGCCCAGCCTTCCACTGGCACCAAAACATTTGCTCAGTCAACCAATAATTATTGATTACCTGCTGTGTGCCAGGTTCTGTGTTGAGTGCTGGGGATAATGACATGGTCTCTGCCTTCATGACGTTCTCAGTTTAGAGAGGGAGACAGAGGTTAAACAAGTACATACAGGTTTAAGTGCGAGAAGCTAGAGGTTCAGAGGCTGTGGGACCAAACCCATGACCACGGCAGCCTCCTAAGCTGGTAATGGTTACATTTTTAGGGTTTCTGGACCCGATTCCAACATTGGAGGGTTCCCTCCCCCAACACAATGTTTCTATCATTCTCAGCCTGGACATGCTGTCTTCCCCACCACCGCTATCCCCACAGACCCAAGATCTTCCACGTAATGGGGAAAAGCAACCTGTTGCTGATCTAGATAGACCTGAGAATTCTCAACATACCAGGTGTCTGAGAATTCAACTCCATTCTGACACTGTCTCCCCAAAGACAGCAGGAGATTCTAAGATTCACGGTGCAATCCTACAAGACTGCCACCCCCATTCCCCACTTCAGACACCAGCTGCAAGCCCCAAACTGCTACCCATGCCTACAGCTGGAGGTTCCAAAGACCACTTCCTTGGATTTGATTAATTTCCTAGACTGGCTGGCAGAACTCAGGGAAACACTTACTTATATTTACCAGTTTATTAAAGGTTATGAGGAAGGATATGAATCAACAACCAGATGAAGAGATACACAGGGCAAGCTCCCAAACAAAGGAACGTCTGTCCTTGTGGAGCTTGGGGCCCAGCTCAGTGGTACAGGGGAACGCTCTGGTTCCAGCAGCTGGAAGCTCTCCGGAAATGGACCCAAGAGCTATCCTCTTGGGTTTTTATGGAGGCTTCATTATATCGTCATGATTGACTAAGTCACTGGCCATTGGCCGACTCAACCTCCATTCCCTCCCCCTCCTGGAAAGGGGGGGCAGGGAGGGGTTTGGGAAAGTTCCAGTCCTCTAATCACAGGTTTGGTCCTCCAGGCCACCAGCCCCGCCTTTGGGTGGGATCCGAAAGTCACCTTCATTAATAACAAGACACCCATTTCACCTTTATGGCTCTGAATTGTTTTCAAGAGCTGTGGATCAAGCAAGGTCAAAGATATCTGAGAAACATATTTTGGTCATCTGAATGACCAAATATACATTTCCTATAAATCATCGTAGCTCAATTACCATTATACTTGAGAAGTGAGTAACCTGGAGCAAAGAGTGGTGTTCCAGGCAAAGCAAACTCTGGGGCAAAGCCCTGGAGGCAAAATAGAGCTGTGTGGACAGAAAGCCTGTTGTTAATTGAGTAGCAGGGGTGAAAGTACCGGAAGGGGAGGCCAGAGGTCAACAGAAGTCAAACCACAGGGCTCTGAAAATCATAGTGAGGAGTCGGCACAATATCTTAAGAGCAATGGGCATCCCCAGAAGGGTTTAAAGAGGAGAGGACGTGGTCTGAGCTATTTTAAGCTGCAGACGCTGGGAGCTGGGGGATGGGGCATGGCCTGGAGGAGACGAGCGGATGTAGGAAGACCTTCTGAGAGAAAGAAGCTGGCCCCCCCCTGCCTCCCCGGGGCTTGGAGCAGCACAGGACAAGCCCGGCCTGTCCACCGGCCTGTCCACCACCGAGCCTGCAGGTCCTGCCTGCCTGGAGGTTTTGCAAACCACACGGGTAGATCAGCAGGAGTCTCTCCCAACCCAGAAGCCACAGCTCCTTAGTTGCACAAATACAAGTAGAGTCTTCTGTGCTGAGAGGGAGACAGGGAGTCTCACATTCAGGGGCCAGTCTTCAGTCACAGCAGGACAGGAAGGCCCCGCCTGCTGTTGGGGTGAAATGGGAGGTCCCACCAAAAAAAAAAAAAAAAAAATCCTGCGCAGAGCGGGCCCTAGTCACACCTGTGTGGCTGCCCGAACAGTCCTTGGGCCCCCACCAGTAGAGATGACTGGACTGGGGCCAGTGGCCTGGAAGAGAAAGGAAGGGACAACCTCAGGGGTTACCCTGAGTGTGACATGACTCATGCTTTTCTAATGCTAGCTCACATCAGTCAGACATTAGCGGGGCTCCCTCCATTTACAACAGGGAAAAAAGAAATGTCTGCCCACCCTTGGGAGAGACAAGACATGTGACAACCCAGCTTTTATGGGGAAGAAGACATTCCATCCCACGTCGGATAGAAAATGGAAGTTTTGCCAATTTTTATGGAAAAGAATAAAGGAGTTCTCCCTCCTTTGGAGGGAAAGTGGAATTTCACTCTTAATATGACAAAAATTGGATGGGAATTCCTGTCCCATTTTTATGTATTAAAAGCGGGGGAGGGGTGTTTACCAACTTTGTAAAGCAACAAGTAAAGCTGGAGGAAGAGAACTCAGACCATCTCCTCTCCCTAAAACACAAAAAGTTCTCCCCCCATTCGAGGACACTGGGGCACCCACACTCACTTGGTGGGCCCTGTTTGAGCTAGGGTCCTCCAGCGGGACTTTGAGGGGCAGAGGCTGTGAGGTCTGCACTGGGATTACGCTCTGCATCTTTTTTTCCAGCGGGGGAACCACAGGGGTCAAGGAGGAGGGACGATGCTTCTTTTTAAGAGAGTCTCCTGGAAAGAGGAGGAAGAGAAACAGAAACACGGGATTGGCTGTTCCAAGCTGAGGGGCGGAGCCTTGCCTGATTGGCTGATATGGAGGTAGAAGGCGAGATGAATGACCTGTGGCGGTGATGACTGGTTCAGCCAGGTCTCCAATGGGCCTTTCTAGGGACCCTCCCGGGGGAGACCCTCACTTACCCCTAAGGCTGCACAGGCAGCAGATACACAGGTAGAGAAGTGCTGCCAGGAGCGCCAGGCCCAGTAGGGAGCCCAGGATGATGCCAGCAATGGCCCCAGAGCCCAGGGTGGGACCTGAAAGACACAGAGAGATGGAGGATAAGGAGCCAGGGCTGGACTCAAGTTTCCTAGGCAACCTGCTCCAACTATTTTGGAACCCAGGAATCTGGGACCCCGGAATCTCATTTGATTTAGCATTTACTAAGTAACGGGTGTGACTGGCATTCTACCAAATGGTAACAATCCACTGGTGAGCAAACCCGGGTACCCATTCTCATGGGGATTAATTTTTAGGGAAATCAGAAATGAATGCACAAATTAATAACATAATCACAGGTTGCACTGAGAAAAAAATAAATGTGCTATGACAGAAATAATGTGTTATCATAGAAATAGAGTCAGTCTTCTGCAAAGACTCTGTTTTCAAATAAGGTCACCTTCACAGGTACTGAGGGTTAAGAGGTCAATATATCTTTTGGGGAGAGACACAATTCAACCAATCAAGTCAAGATGAAAGCATTAGGATGAGCCCTAATCCAATATGACTAGAGTCCTTATAAGAAGAAGACAGAGACACACAAAGGGAGGAGGAGGCTGTGGGAAGCTGGAGGCGGAGACCCCAGCAATGCAGCTACAGGTCAAGGAAGGCCAAGGATTGATGGCCCACTATCAGAAGCCGGAAAAGGCCGGCAAAGATTCTACCCCGAGTCTCAGAGGGAGCACGGCCCTGATTTCCCTGAGCCGGAGCACTGACACCTTGATTTCTGACTTCTGGCCTCCAGAGCTGGGAGAGAATACATTTCTGTTGGTTCAAGCCACCCAGTTCATGGTCCTTTGTGACTGTAGCCCCAGAAAACAAATACAAGCAGACAAGCAGGACACAAGGAAACAGACTGAGGGAGGCAGCCCAGGAAAAGGCTCCAACAGCCCCAACTCACTGGCCTGGTAGACATGGCTTTGTGATGGGGTCCCTGGCTGGCCCCCCAGGGTGGGCAGGATACGGAAGGCCCAGGTCCCGGGGTTCCGACGAGGAAGGGGCACCACAGCTGACCGCTCCTGAGGCCCCAGGATGAGTAGGGAGATCCAGTCCTTGTAGGTAGTGGCTCTACCCAGGTCAGGGCCCTCTGGTCGTGCCTGGATCTCAAAACCATTGATCAGGGCCCCACGTTCCACATCCCAAGTCAGCACTGCGGCATCCTGGGCTCTCTGCAGCCTCCATGAGGAGATGGAAGGTCCTGGGGGGATTAAGGTGGGGGTTGAATTTATGGGTCCTAGAGGGGAGAGGGAAGGGGGCTGCAGGCCTGGACTCAGATCCTGGGAGCAAAAGGTCTGGGGAGGCTTCTAGGCCTACAAGAGGAAGAGACTGAGGGCCTGGACTCTTGGATCTGAGGGAGAAGGAGCTGGGGACTGGGTTTGAGGTTAGAGAGGGCTGGAGGACCTGGACTTCTGGGTTCTGGGAAAGAAATGGACTCACCAATGAGCGTGATCAGGTCGCCCCCAGCACCCAGAGCCCCACTGCACAACACGGAGTAATTTCCCAGGTCCCAATCCAGACTGAAGTTGCTAATGAGGAGCCTGCGCCCATCTTGGCTGAGCCGCAGGCGACCTCCACCTCCTGGGGCCACGGGCCGCCCTTCCCGGGCCCAAGATGCTCTCGATGGTGGAGGACAGCCAGTGGCCTCCAGCGTCACCTCTGTCTCCCCTGACCGTGTTTCCTCCACTGTGGGAAGCAGCAGCACCTCCCGAGGGGTCTCTGCAGGTAGAAGAAACCCAGCCAAGTCAAGACCTCACCCTGGAGTCAAAGACCAAGTCCTGCGCCCCTTGGTGAAGTAAATCGCTGTGAAACTTTAGCAAACAGGGAAGCACTGCCCATTCACTCACTCTCTCATTCAATCATCACCTGATGTCCTTAATAACGACTTATTAGATACATACTGTGGACCAGGTTCTGAGCCGGGGAACTCATATTATTCCAGAGCCTTTATTGCTCTGGACACGTAGGAAGGTGTCAGCCCTCTTCCTGGGTCCAGGAAAGAAATTGTGGCCCTTCCCCTGCTTGAGGTATAGGAAAAACCTTGGTCCTTCTGTAGGGTTTAAGGAAAAGGAAATCTCTTTTCCTGGAGTCAGAAGTCTGCCTTTCTCATTTCCTAAAGGAGCTAAGAAAGACCCCCTCCTCTAGTCCCGCCGGCCCTCACCCGGGGTGACAGTGCAGGTGCGCGTGGTCACCAGGTGGCGAGCGAGGCAGGTGACGGGGACGCCGCTGAGTCGGGGGTGGGCGGGGACAGCCGCCTGGAGCTCAGAGGGCACCGGCCCCGCGCGGACGCCTTCAGGGAGACCCTGGAACTGCAGAGAGGCGGCAGGGACCCCGCCGGGCCACGCGCAGCGGAAGCGGAGGCTGCGATCCCCCGGACCGCCTTCGACTGAGCACTGTGGGGACCCGGGAGGCAGATCTGTGGGGCGGAGGGAGAGATCAAGGGGTCAGCCTCTCTCCCCTCACCCCTCCAGCCCCGCCTCTCCGCGCTTTCACGCCAACCCTTCTGCACCAGCCCGTAGGCGCCGTCTGCGCCCCATTCTCTCGCCACCCAGCTCCCTTTCCCAGAAACTTCCGGGCTAAGTGGGCAGCCGCAGCCCCACTGACCGCCTCTCTTGCCATCTCCGCACTGATTTCTTTCCTCGCAAACCTAACTCCGCCCCTTCTTTTGTAGTCCCACCCCTTCCACCAAGTTACTCTGGGCCTTTAGCCAGACATCTACGTCCCTCGGGTTGCGCCCCGTCCCACATCTAACACAGCTCCGCCCATTTCTAAATGACCCAGCCCCCTTTCTCTTGTGACTCCGCCCCCTTCCCAGGTACTTTATTTGCTCATCCCACTTACTGGCCCAAGCGCCTTAAGTCCCTTGCCTTTCTGGTCTCCACTCTTCGCCATTTGACCCTCTGCTTAATTCGTTGAGATCGCTTCTTGCCCAGGAGTCTCCGCCCTGTTAATCTGGCCCCGCCCCTCCGTCGTGGCCCCGCCTTCTCCGGGTACCCCGCTCCATCCCGCCCCGGCCGTGCTCACCCGCCACCGTGAGGCTGAGCAGAGAGCGGCGGCGGTGACCGGTGTGCGGGTTCGCAGCGAGGCAGGCATAGGTGCCGGCGTGGCCCGGCCCGACCGCGGGCAGCAGGAGACGCGGGCCGGCGGGCACCGCTGCCTCGGCCGGGTCGGCCAGGCTCCACGCGATGTCGGCGGGCGGCCGCGAGGCGGCGGTGCAGCGCAGGGTCACGTTGCTGCCCGCGGTGACATAGAGGGCGGGGGCGGCGTCGCGGTCCGAGGAGACCTTGATGACTGGTGCATCCGGGCCGTCTGGATGAAGGGGTCCGGACCGGGAGAGCCAGGGTTACTCGGGACTCCGCCACGACCCCTGGGCGCTGGACCTCCAACCCCCCTCCCTGAGCTCCCAGATCACGGCCCCCAACCCGAGGCACACCCCCACTCACAGAAAACACTGACGTCAGCCGCAGCCTCCGTGTGGCCGAAGGGGCTGCGGACGCGACAAGTGTACCGGGCCTGGTCGCTGCGCACAGGGCGCATGATGAGCAGCTGGTCGCCCTCTGTGCGGATCCGGGGTGGCTCTGCTCCCTCAGGGTCCGTTGCCTCGAGGGTGCGTCCGTCCCGGCTCCAGCTCAGCTCCCCGCGACCCGGCCCCCACCCCAGGCAGCGCAGCCGGAGCTCGGCCGCCCCCTCCTCTGTCTCGGGGGTCTTGGGCTGCACCGACAGCGGGGGCAGCGGCTCTGGGGGAGGGAGATGGGCTCAGGACCTGGTCCCCGGCCCCCTCGCCGCCTAGATCCAGGACTCCAGGCCCCAGCCTTCTCCACTCCTCCCACCCAGGACTTCTGCAACCAGCCCCAGGAGTCCTCCTCCTCACAGACCCATAAGTCTGAGTCCCCCACTCTCTCCTCTCAGAGACTGAAGATTCCAAACCCCCAGGGGTCTTGATCCCCAGGTCCAACTTCCCTCAAGAACACTTGTCTTGACCCCCAGCCCCTCCCTCCAACCTAGAAGTCCTGTCTCCCCTGCCGAGGGACCCCCTTCCTCAGGGGAGAAGACATCGGCAGATAGCAGCCACCTGCCCAAAGGGCCTGCACTCTGGACCTCAGTAGTCACTTACCATACACACCCACCGTGAACTCCCGAATCTGCCGGGAGACCCCAGCCCGGATAACCTCAGCAGTGTAGACCCCAGCATCCTCCAGCTGGGCAGAGGCCAGTTCCAGCCCCCCTTGGGCCTGGTCAAATCGTAAGCGGCCTCGGTGAGCAGGGTCCAAGCTGATCAGGGGAGACCCTGGCCCCAGGCCTCCAGCTGCCAGCACCTTGGAGCCTCGGCGCCAGACAACCAGAGGAGCAGGAGGGCTGGGGCTGGGAACCGGAACTAGAGGGAGCCGGATGGTGGTCCCCACTAGCACGGAGAGAGGCCTCCCCACGTGCTGGGGGAGGCTTTCCTCTGGGTGAGCTGCTGCGATGACTTTGGATTCGGGGTTCTGGGCAGAGATGTCAAGATCCTGATCCTCAGGGGAGAATTTTGAACCTGGGGTCTCAACAGATACTTCAGGATCTGGGACTTGAGCCGAAATGTTTGAAGCTGGGGTCTTAACAGAGGAGGAGGGCTCTGAGTCTTTGGCAGGAACTTGAGAACCCAAGACATCAGAAAATACTTCAGAATCTGGGATTTCAGAGAAGGTAGGATCCAGGCTCAGCTTTTGGCCCTCAGCAGAAACATTTGACCAGACGGACCTGGGCACATCGCTAAAATTCGAGGCCTCAGGAAACCATTTGGAATGAGGGACAGCAGCAGTGCTTTTTGAACCTGGAGACTGATCTGGAAATTTCCAGCTGGGGGGTTTGATGGAGGAGACTTTTGAACCTGGGCCATGGGAAGAGCTTTCTGAGTCCAGGGAGAAATTGGTTTGCTGAACTCCAGAAGAGGCTCCGTGGGTGAGGACCCCTTCTCGGGAGGCTGCAAGGAGAGGAGGGGAGGGCGTTGAGGGGCTGCTGAGAAGGGGAACCAGTGGGGAAGGGGCCGAGCAGGGGACTTACCCAGGAGCAGGAAGAGCAGCAGAGCCCGTGAGGTGTCCATGGTGCTGGCCGCACCCATGAGGACACTGGAGTGAGACTCCAGGGCCTGCACCTGTGCCTCCCCGGTCGACGAGTCCGACAGGACTGGTAGCTTCCTGGGCGGGGAAGGAAACCAGACCCAGTGGGAGGTGCCAGGATCCCCCACCGCCAATCTAGTGGCAGAGCCAGCCACCCCACCCGACTGCTCCTCATCAGCTGGTCCCATCTGGCCCCTGCACTCCCTACCCCTGGGGTGAAGATGGTGAGAGATGGGTCCCAGCAGAAACATGGTAGCAAACCTGTGGGGAACAAAAGCCAGGAAGACTTCTTGGAGGAGGGTGAGGTGATCCTTCAGAGAGACCCGCCTCTGATGGCCTCAGCCTCAGTTCAGGCTTCCTCCTCACCAGCCTCTGACCCTGAATCCACTCTGTCCTGCCTGCAGCCTCAGATACCTGCATTTGACCCTGCTCCTACTCTGCTCCAACTCCTCCCAGAGCTCCCTGCTGCCCTCAGAACAAATCTCCACTGGCTGTCTCCCACCCTCTCCCGAGACCCAGAGTTGCATCTCCGTGCCCCCCAGGGCCTCAAATGCCTTGCATCCCATCCAACTCAGCATCTTCCCTCCAACACAACCCCCTTCCTGGGTTCTCCATCTCAAGTGTGGTTCCACATCTATGCAGAGGCTGGGAGCCTTCTTCCCTCCTCTCCCCTCCTCCTGCTCTGCCCCTTCCTCTCCCTTTCCACTGCTCAGAGCTGTCCTCTCCCCTAGCCTCCTCCCTCCAGCCTCCAGCCCCCGCCAGTCTCTGGATCCACACTTGACCCCTTTCTGCCCCTGCCCCTCCCGTGGCTCCCCTGTGCCCTCAGGAGACATCCAAGGTCCCTTCTAGACCCAGAGTGGCCCAGACCTACCCACTCCGGCCACACCCTCCACCCTCTTACTCTGAACATCCAGCCATTCTTATGCCCCATCTCTCCCCTCCCAGATTTGCAGGCCGTCTCTCCTCTGCCTGGAATGCTCGGCTCACTCCCTGCCTCCCCCCCCCCCCCCCCCCCCC